TGGTCCCAGCTACTTGGGAGGCTGAGGCAGGAGACTCGCCTGAGCCTAGGAGTTGGAGGTTGCTGTGAGCTGTGATGCCACATCACTCTACCCAGGGGGACAGCTTGAGGCTCTGTCTCAAAAAAAAAGAAGACCATAGGCTTGTTTTCCTTTGTAAACAGGTATCAGTAGCCCTGCTTATCATCTGGGCCAGCACTTTTTCCTACTTATTGTCAATACCAGACATGAAAAACAATGGCTTGTTATGTTTGCACAAAAATAATTAAAGAATAGTGTAAATCTTACTGAGCCTTTGAAAGGAGGGAGATTCAGTCACTGGGTCACACCACACCTGTACACCTTTGCCAGACATTTTCACCTCCCAAGTCCCTTCTCTGTGGTTCCATAACCAGGGGTCCCCTCTCCTCTGCCCCCTCCACAGCTCACCTTAGTGGCTCTTATTAATTTCTCCCTCCCCTCTAACAAGGGTACAAGTGAATTTTTCTAGAACTAGAGTATAAATGTTTTAACACAATAACTAGGTAAATGACACAAAGTCTATGTTAACCAGTTTGATGAAAATATTTCAAACTGCATATGGAAACACTACACTGTACCCCATGTTTGCATTAATGTACACAGCTATCATTTAATTGAAAAAAAAAGATAATAATCGAATTAAAACTACATAAACAACTAAAAAAAAAAATTTCTCCCTCCCCAAACAGCATTGAGTGCAGTCCGGGCCCTGTCATTTGTTAGTCCTGTAAACATGGCATATTCCATAACCTCTCTGTGCCTCAGTTTCCACATCTGTAGAGTGGGCATAGCAATGTGTCCTCCAAAAGTTACCATGGACATTAAATGAGCTAATGCACGTAGAGAGCCCGGAACGGCCCCTGGCTCATAGTAGGTCCTCTGCATAAAGGGTCCTGACAGGCTTCCGTAGTGAAGCAGGTGCAGGCTGCTCCCCCTCGAGTGGCTACCACATTATTTCTTCCACACAAGTAGAAAGACTTCTCTAAGGAGAGTTTTGGTGAATAAACATCCTTCTTGTGCTTTTTCATCTCTCTTGCCGTGCCAACAAGGCCACCAAGTCCAGAGCCATCTGGCACACTGTCCCTGGGAAGGAGCCTGCCCAGAGCTTGGGCAGCCTGGGAAGCCTGTGGCAGCTATGTGCTGAGGGAAACCAGAACCACTTCCCTGCCAAGCCAGCTGGACCAGGCATTGGCTGGTTTCTCAGCCAATGGCAGTGACCTGCCTTCCCCTTCCCCACAAGGGAGTGTTGGTGGGAATGTCACCTGACCAGGCAGCTCTCCATGGACTGTAGCCAGCTGACCAAGGGCCACTCTTGGGCCCTGCTACTCTTACAGAGAGGGAGGGTGGTACACCTGACCACGTGGGACATTGCTCTAGTCCTGCCCATACAGCATGGGACCCTGTCCCCAGAGGTACACTGATTCTCTGCAGCATAAAGCACCCAACAGGTGAGCTGGCCCCTATGTGGCAGGAGAAGAGGGCACAGGCTTGATGGCCTCTTAGCTTTTCCAATGGACATCCCCATCAAGGGGCCCCAGAGCCTCCCCATGGCAGGACTGACTCTGCTGAGATAGTGGAGTAGGGACCAGGTGAGCACAAGGCGGGCTGCAGAGCTGGACTTAGATCTCTGTTGGACACCTGCTGGGGCAGGCACTGCAGCACTCTGTGCCTGGAGATGAGGCACCAGGCTCCCTGAGGGCGAGGCTCTCTGAACTGCTAACGCAAGATCAAAGCTTTCCTGCCCAAGGGTAGGTGACAGGGCTGACCTCTCTCGAGGAAATGAAGGGTTCACTGGGTGTGGGGAGCATGAGTGCTCCTAAGTCATGTGGGTGGCACTGTGCTGTAGCCCTGTCCTTTGATGTCACCTCCTCCCCCCACCCCACCCCCATCCATTTAAATAGTCAAATCCTGTCCTCTTTCCCTCCCCCCCAAGGCTGCTACTAGTTCCTAAAGCTGCAAACACACCTAGCTAAACCATCAGGTGGAGGCCCTGGTTGTCTCCAGCTGTCCCCTGCTATCCCCTGGCCCACCAGGGCCCAGGCAGGATGAGGTCCGGGCCCCTGAGGACTGGAAGTGAGGATGTGAGGTCTTTTTCCACACAGGTATTTCTAGGCGGGGGTGGGGAGTGAGCCTCAGTAGCTTCCTTCGCAGCCCTGGCTGCTCATTTTTCTGTGGGGATGGTGTTACTCCCGAGGGTCACAGATAGGCTCAGCTGACCTTCAGGGCAACAGTTGAAGTGCAAAGCCTGCTACCCCACCAGCCCCTGGGGCTCCAGGTCCTACCGTCTCTGCCAGCACTTCTTACACCAGAGTGGGGGTGGGGGTGGGGGCAGGCTCACATTGACCCTAGAGAACAGAGAAACCTAAGGATGGTGGAATGTGTTTTTCAGTAAGTTCCATCTCTTTGGTTTAAATGACTTGGCTTTTTATTCATTTATTTTATTTTATTTTATTGCAATTTTTGGCCAGGGCTGGATTTGAACCCACCACCTCCAGTATATGGGGCCGGTGCCCTACTCCTTTGCCATAGGCGCTGCCCTTTATTCATTTATTTTTTAGAAAGAGTCTGTTCCTCCTGCCTTTTTGGTATTACGGGATGCTTTATTTCATAAAATGAGGTGTTAGGAGATGAGAGTTATCATTCATTTGGTCAGTTTTTAGCCTTTAAATCTCCTTAATTGGCAAAATCAAGGGCAAATCAAGGGCAGCCATTTAAGGTGTCCCGTTTTGTAGAAAGTCTGCTGGTCTGTGGTATCCCGCAGCCTAAAACAGAGCCTGACCCTGCAGGGAGGGCGGCTTCCCTCCCCACCACCCCAGCAGAGGAGAAAGGGGCCATGGTGGGTGTGGCCCAGGGGCTCTAGGACAGAAGTTTGGTGAGAAGTCCAGGCTGGGCAAGAGCCTTGTGGACATCTGTGGGCATCACTGGAGCCTCTCCAAGATGAAGACACTGCCCACCCCTAGTGACTCTAAGAATAACCCAGATCAGACTTGGGGTCAGGAGAAGAGGTAGAAGAAGGAACAGGGGGCCTGGTCTGGATCCCAGTTTTGCCCCCAGAGAGCCTAGTCACTGTGGGCCAAGGCCCCTGCAAAGCCAGGACTATTAGACTGGAGGTTCTCTGGGCCCTCTCCGGCTCAAACTCTTGCTCACAGGGATCCTACGCTGTTCGGTTTGGAGTCAGAGTTCCCATCTGTAACCTGGCCCAAGGCTACAGTGAAAGTGAACGATGGAGCCCTGGCACACAGCCAGCACCAAGGAGTCGGCCCTCAGCTCACATCCCGCCTGGTGGGAGAGAAATCCACATGGGTCAAATGGCGTCAGACAGGGCTGTGAGATGCTCTGGAGACTCCTCCTGCCCCCTATGAGGCTGTAGCTCTGCCCGTGGGGAGAGGTGGCCGAAGGTCCAGGTGGCCTTCCCTCTCTTGATGCCGGAAAATGGGGACACAGAATTTTCCATCAACCCAGGACAGTCGGCTTGCTGTGGGCCCCAGCTGGTTTCTAAGGCTCTCACTGACCCTCAGACACCTGGCTTCTGACCCTGAGTCTACACGCACACCCGGCTTGACCAGGGCTGGCGGGGGTGGCGGGGGTAGCTGGCACTGTATGGTCTCAGTTGCAGCATCTGGGGGCAGAAGGTCTTGACTTTGACTGCTGCCCTCACTTCACCTGCCCAAGCCTCAGTTGCCTCATCTGCAAACCTAGGGGTGTTAGGCGTTAGCAAGACCTGCTCCCCACGTTGTGTGTGATGAAATGGGCCTACAAATGCTCGGCACGGGGGTGGGCGGTGCCGTGTGAGTCAGGGCTCAACAGGTCTGCGCTTAGCCACCCACTTCTCCTCCCACCTGGAACAGGGTAGGGGCCTGGGCTGTTCAGAGGGACCTTTCTGCCAGCCCAGGGACTCTCTCTGAAATGCTCAAGTGGACACACCCGCCCCCAACTGCACCCTGATGCTGCCCAAGGCCCAAATGGGGACGCAATTAGGAAGCAGGGCTGTGAGGGAAGGGCCTCCTTCAGACGCTAGACAAGAAGGGGATTTTGGAAAGGAATCTTCAGCAAGTGGCTGGTTCCTCTCTTGTCAAGACAACTAGCACATTCAGCAATGTCCCAGTGGGGGATCTGATAATGACAGAGACACCCCAATGGGCGGGGATACAGCTGAGTGCCTAGGAGGGAGGGGAGAGGCTGCTCACAGGCTGCGAGGGTGACTTCCTCTGCTCTTGGGGCCCAGAGCACTACTTCTGGGTGAACTGAAAGTCCTTTCTTGATTAAACCCACCCCATATTCTTGGCTCCCCAAACAACAGCTTCCTCCAGGGGCCCAGAGGCTGAATGCAGGAAGGGCCCCCTCTTGCCGCACTCTCTCCTCTTAGGGCACTGGTTCTCAACCTGTGGGTCGCGACCCCTTCATAACAATGAAAATACATCCTGCATATCAGATATTTACATTACAATTCATAACAGTAGCAAAATTACAGTTATGAAGTAGCAACGAAAATAATTTTATGGTTGGGGGTCACCACAACATGAGGAACTGTATTAAAGGGTCACGGCATTAGGAGGCATTAGGAAGATTGAGAACCACTGTCTTAGGGCGTCTGAGCCAGCATCTTCAACCAACACCAGAGCAAGGCTAGAGGTCTCTAACATACCCACCACCACAGAGCCCTGAAGTTCCTTCTGACTCAAAGAACCCCCTTCTCCCCTGGTCCCTGGGACCCAGGGAGGCCCCTGGCACCACAGCTCATGGCAGCTGAGGTATGGGACCAGGCTCCAGTGTGGCCCTGGGAGCTCCGGCACTGTGGAACCTGTCATTAGATGGGCCCCCTGAAGTCCAGGGGCAAGGTTCAGGTGGGCCAGGATGCTTCATTCTGTGATGTAAGAACAAGCCCCCCATGCTTCGCCCCTTCCAAGCCCCTCGCTGGGCCTCTCTTCAGAGTCGCCTCTCACCCTATCTCTGTGCCCCAGGATGGAGTGCGTTGTACTCACAGCACACAGAGCGCGTAGGCCCGGGAGATGGACTCGCTGGCTCGCACGAGGAAGCTCCCATCTTTGCCCGTCCTGGACAGCAGCTCCTCTGCCTTGGAGCGGGTGATGTTGCCGTGGTTCCAGCAGGGGACCATGGTGGACGCTGGCCTCGTCCAGCCGGGCTGGCAGCTACCCCAGCACCGACAAGCCGCTGAGGGGAGCTGAGGCCCCTGCACTGCAACCTGCTGTCTGCCTCCTCTTGGTGGCCTCTGCTGCTGCCACCAGCTTTAACTGACTGACTTCCTGTTTCGGGCGCTCAGCAGGGAAAGGAAACTGAGCTGCAGAGAACTTCCTCATTACAGAAACCAAGTGAGAGAGAGAGAGAGAGAGAGGGGGCCCTGGCCATCCACCTCCCTACCTGCCCCTGTCCCTGTGGGGCTCACTGCCCTTCTCCCTCTGGAGCTCTCTCCTTCCCTATAACGGTCTCAGCTGCCAGAAGTATCAAGCATCAGCTAAAGCCCTGCCTGGTGTGGTTATCAGCTTCCTGGGTGTCAGGCTTCTGAAGAAGTATGGCCCAGCAGGCGTGGATGGGCCAAAGCAGTGATGGCCATTTGGGGTGGCCATGCCCTGGACAGACCTCTTCAGCCTTCTGCTCTCTCCCCACCCCCAACACACCCAAGGCGTACAACTTGACAGCCCCAGAACAGCACAATTGAGGGGGGACAGTTGAACACTGCCCCTCCCCTTGCAGGCCTGCAGCTGTCCCGACCCTGTGGAACTGGGTACTGGGAGATCAGCTGTGGCTCTGTGATCCGTTACACTCATTCCCGGGGGCTAGCAGGTGGGGAGGAACCGGGGAGCCACCCATTCTCTGTAGACACTGCCGCCCTTATCCTGACAGCCCAGCTAGAAGGAGCTTGGCAGGCTCAGGACATGGGCCAAATACAGGGTGGACATGGGCTGGCTTTCCTCTCTGGGCCTCTCTGGGATACTGGGGCAACAAGCTAGGAGGGAAGACTCCACAACCTCTCAGGGGAAGCTGGCCAAGTGGTCAGGATGACACTTGCCCCTCAATCCCGCATCCCTGAAGAGTCCAGGTTGCCAGTCTGACTGTGCCTCACCACATCTGCCCACCACTCAAAGGGGAGCTGCCTCCATGGGGCTGCCAAGGACCAGCAGATTTCTAAGGGCCCCAAAGTGGGTACCCACACCTTGGACCCCAGGGCTGGGCACCTTCAGTCCTGTATTCAGGCCTACCAAAGGTGGACAAGCAGGTGCTGACCTATTGTGCAAGTAACAGCTCCCAACCCCACATCTAGACCACGACCCCATACGGAGATGGACAACTGGCCCCACCAGGCAGCTCTGCACATTCAAACTACAGCACTCGGCCAGTTCTTCTCTCCCTCAGCCTTAGTTTCCTCTCCCCTAACTCAAGGGATGAAGTTCCCAAAGAGCTTATGTGTGTCGAGACTACACGTGAGCTGTGTGGGGGCTGTTCCAGAAAAGGTGCTCCCCCCAAGCTCCCTCCTGCAGCAGGCAAGTCTGTAAAGTGAGCAAATCACTTGTTCAGGGGCCCTCGGCCAAAGGAGATGCGAGCTGGTCTCCACGCTCTAGCCTCCCAGGCCAGCTTGGTCTGGAGCACTCCATCTTCTCTTCTGCGGCCCAGGCCTCCCCTCCCTGTCCGCCTCGGCTCTGCACCACACAGCCCTCTGTGTAGCCCACACCTTCACAATGCACATGGTAGGCTTCTCCTGGATTCCTTAGGCCACCATTCTGGAGCGCCGGCACTATAGGGTCTATCACGAGGACACATCTGCAATACTGGTCCCTTTGGGCCCTGACCCACTCATCTGTAGAGACCCTACCACATCTGAGACTGAGGGTGTCCAGAGAGCTCCTGGACACCCAGCCTCCCACCCCATCTCTCCCACCCCTCTCCCTCTGTCCTTGCCATTCTCCCAGCAAGAGCCCATTCACGGCTCCTGAATTTTACCACCCATCACATCTTCACTTTCTTCCCCACCCAGTCACCTGGGGCTTCCGATGGGGCAGCTTTCTTGTTCCTCCCACCCCCATATTCAGGAAACCCCAACATCTAGACCAGAGCTGCCCTTACAGGGGGTGGTCCTCCCTGGACAGGAGCCTTCAGAGGGGCAAATGACCACTGAATGCTATTGGCAGGGGGCACAGAGGGTACAGGTCAGCTGCACCTGTCACTGCTGCTCGCAGTACTCAGTGTCATTCAGAGTGACCTGCTCCCCAGACTGCTCCCAGCATCCCCATGCAGCCGTAGGATCCCAGAATAATCTATCTATCCATCCTTCTATCTATCATCTATCTATCATCTATCTATGTCTCCTATTGGTTCTGTTTCTCTGGAGGACCCTGACCAATAAAGGAGTAAGCACTTGACTGTAAAGTTGGATCACACAGCTGCTTGCTAGTGTGGTCAGGGGTGATCCCCTCACCCACAGACCTGATAAAAGGATGTCTTGGACTGGAGAAGGGATTTGTCACTCTGGAGGAGGCTCCTGTCATCAAGTTCCACCATTCCCATGGCCAAGGGGCCCAGGGCAAGTGGGCCGGCCCCTGCCCCTGCATCTCGGAAGACCATCATGGACAACCAGTCAAAGCTGGGAGCCTGCCCCTTGCTCACAGCCTGGACATCTTGAAGGAGTGATGCTGTCTTCCGTCCTGAGCATTTACCCTGCCCCCATCAGCCCTTCCCAAACCAAAGACCAAGGACACTTGTCAAGGTGGTGGGAGAGGAGGGGCAAGTCCCAGCCGCTGACCAGGGTGAAAGTAGAGCTACCCGCTGAGACTTTCCGACAGAGCTGGGACACCTCTGGACCTAGGGGGCCCCACCCTCCATCGTCCTCCAGGATGGAAGGACTCCTCCCCACGCAACCCTTTCTTGTCCCAGCTGCTTATGGAGTTCTGTCAGGATGCCTGGCTTCTCTTGCCTCCATTCCCACTCCATTTCCCATTCCACTTCTCCTTCTAGTGTCTCCAGAGTGGCCTTTCTGGACCCACTCAGGCTGCTACAGACAATCTGCTGAGATCTGCAGAGCTAGCTGCCATGGTCTGCTGAGGTCAGGCTGGCCTTGCCACAGGGGCACAGTGCTCCTGAGAATGGGAAGGGAAGGCTCCAATCATAGTGCCCTCTTCTCCAGCCCCTCTGTGCCTCTGATGACTCCACGCTAGGGCTGTAAATCAGACCCTGAATTACACATGCAGCATCAGGGCTGAGGCCAGATTCCCAGCCTCGCCACTAATACTTAGCTCATCTCTGAGTCCCAGTTTGCATCTCTCCGTGGGGAGGAATAACAACCATGTTGAGGGGTGTCTGTGGAGCTATGCAGGGGGGGTGCTCATGACAAGGTAGGTCTCCCAGGTGGCCCCCTGACCAGTGCCCGGAAGGCAGAGCTTTCTGTGAGCTCTGGGAGGCAGCCGGCACCAGAGGCCTCCACTGCTAGTTTCATAATCCTGGTTTGAGAGAGGACAGGATTTTTTCTTTTCTTTCTTTTTAATTGCAGATAAATATGAGGGTACAAATGTTTAGGTTACATTGTTTTCATTTCTAAGATAAAATTCAAATTGTAGCTGAGCCCTTCCCCCAGTGGGTGTGCTGAACACCCTTACATGGTGCTGATTAGGTGAGATCTTCCAATCACCCTCCCTCCTCGACCCTTCCCCTCACTAGACTATACTTGTGTTTTCTTTCATGAGAGTGTGTAGTTGTTTATATATTGGTTGCATATTAATATTGATACATTGGATTTTTTTTTCCATTCTATTGATACTTTACTAAGAAGAACGTGTTTCAACTCCATCCAGGTAAACACAAAAGATGTAAAGTCTCCATCTTACAGCTGAATAGTACTCAATGGTATACCAAAATCTGCTAATCCAATCTTGGGTTGATTCCATCTTGGTGATTGTGAACTGAGCTGCAATAAACATTCTAGTGCAAATGGAGAACAGGATTCTTTCTTTACCTCTAATGGGAAGAACTTGACCAGGTCAAGGTCTGAGCCTCCTGGATCTAGCCACCAGGGGGCTCCTGAGCACCAACCTGGGTCCTGAAACAGAGTCCTGTGTGACTCTCCGCCCAGTGGATCACTGCCCACAGAAACAGAGGCCACTCCTAATCGGTCCCAGGGCCCATGGAGTCTGTGACTATGTTTAAGGACACCTGTGGACCAAAGACCTGGTAGTGAGTGGCACCCCCTTCACTAATGATGCCAGGATGTCTAAAGGGCTGGAACTGCACCCAGGAGAGCCAGGTGCGTGGGAAGACTTGCGTAAGAGAGAGCCGTGTCCCAAAAAACAACCTGTGTCTTTCGTCAAGATTGTTGTTAAGGACTTGGGAAAATATTTATAATATAATATTAGGTGAGAAAAAATTGGGACACAGAATTTTTTCCAATTGTGGGGAAAAATTCAAGCCTGGGAAACACCTAATAATGCAGAACATTCAGTAAGGTGTCACATCCACTTTTCCTGCTTTACCTTACAGACCACATAATACTTTTATCATAATGAAAATTAAATAAGTAAAGACTAAAATCCTGTGGGAAGAGCTTGGTTTTGTGCAATGACTGGTCATACCCCTCCTCTCGCCTCCATCAGGTTTCCAAGAGGAAGACATAGATCAACATTTTTCTCTTTAGTTTTTTTTTTAATTGAAAAGTCAATACTCAACTAGTATGAAAGGTGTGCAAGGAACAGCAAGTCTTCCTGCCAGCCCAGACCCCAGGCCCATTTCTCCAAGGCCAGTGTCTCCTATTGTCTTTCGAACTCTATTTTTGCAAAGATTCTTTTCTTCTTTTCTTTTTTACTCTGTTGTGCACCTTGCTTTTTCCATTTAGTACTTCTGAACATTTCATAGAGCTCTTTATATATCTACCACATTCTTTTAAAGATACATGCTACTTTACATCAAGACACAATGCAGCATACCAATCTTGTATTCATGGACACTTAGGTTGCAAGAAAAATTCCTGGAAGAGCACAGGGGTGTGGCTCGGCACCTGCAGCACAGTGATTAGGGTGCCAGCCACGTACACCAGGGCTGGCAGGTTTGAACCTGGCCTGGGCCTGCTAAACAACAACAACAACAACAAAAATAGCTAGGTGTTGTGGTGGGTGCCTGTAGTCCCAGCTACTTGGGAGGATGAGGCAAGAGGATTGCTTAAGCCTAAGAGATTGAGGTTGCTGTGAGCTGTGACAGCAAAGCACTCTACTGAGGGTGACGTAATGAGACTGTCTCAAAAAAGAAAAAAAATCACAAGGCTTCAACTGTTG